CGCTCCTGCCCAGATGTTTTCTCCCACAGATGTGAATGTGGGATGTATCCTTCTCACCTCCCTGAGGTAAATGTTATGTTCAAAGAGGCAGAATCTGGCCCAGGCCCGCGCCGTCACCGCCAGTCCTTCATCCCACGTCTGCACACAAACACATGCACGCACTTACCCTAAATCAGCCTTAAAACTCATTTAATGTTCAGCTTGTCAGGCTGGGAGACCATTTTAAACCAGCTAAGACCAGCAAACTAACTTAGGCAGTTTTTTTCTAGAAGGAAATGCATGCTAATTACATAATCTGATAATAGGAAATGAAGCAGGATATTGCACGAGAAGAAAAATGTTTATTGTAGTTTATATTTTACATATTTTACTTTACAGTGGAGTTTAAAAGTCTGAAAAAGTAAAAGTGAAAATCTTTTCCCCCCAGTAAAACAGGATATTGCACAAGAAAGAAAAAAACCCGAGGAATGGATGAGAAATTGATTGGATTCTGAAAAGCAAGCTAATTTGAAAAGCTCATTCAAAATATTAATTCATTCTATAACATTATATAAGTAATACTAAAACCACATTGACAATATTGTAGTTTATATCTTACATATTTTACAGTGGTGTTCAATAGTCTGAGGCTAAAAATGAACATTTTCAATTAAATTATATGAGAAAAAAATAATATAAATAGTATACAAGTAATACTAAAACTAAATGTGAAAATCCCTTTTTAAAAAGATATTAAAATATTATTATTAATGAAATATAAGTAATACTAAAACCACACTGATGTCAATTGTATTTTATATTTTAGTTTATAATGAAACCAAAATGAAAATAATTTTTCTTTCAATACAACAACATATTGCATGAGTGTAATGTATATAAGTAATACTAAAACAATGATGTCTATTGTAATGTGTATTTTAGGTATATATTTTATTTTACAGTGGGGTTTGAAAATCTTAAACTAAAAGTGAAACTCTTAGAATTTCTTAGAATTAACTAACTTAGAATAAAAAATAGCTAGTAGTATTATTAAAATCCTATGAGTATGTAAGTAATACTAAAACCACACTGATGTCTGTTGTAGTTTATATTTCATGTATTTTATTGTGCAGTGGAGTTTAAAAGCCTGAAACTGAAAATACTTTTTTTCTTCAATGAAAAAGGATATTGAAGAAGAAAAACTGTCATGCACAATAAGACCATGAAGATGTACTGTATGAAGAGAGTAAACAGGTTCATGTTAAAAATCTAGCGATGCATTCATATCCGTTTAACACACATTAGCATGTTTAACCTCCACAGACTCCATCGAGACCTGCGATCTCTGATCCGACATCAGGAAACATCTGATATTTACCATGTAGCGCATGTTTGCGGCCGTGGGCTTCACGTCGGCGCGGTGCTTGTTGTGTTCTCTCACGCATTCCTCAATAAACGCTGGATCCGTGATATCAAAGACCGGCTCGCAGGAACCCAAACCTAGCAGAACTGTGACAGAGATCAGAAGGTGAAGGTAGTCGCTCATCGCCGAGTTTGACTGTTAAACTTACAACTGGTTAAACTTTCAGTGTATCCGGCGGGTTTCCTGTCAGTGGTTTGCTCACTTCTGCTTTCTCACAGAGGAACTATAATTATATCCAGACTACTTACAAATTGTAGTCTGTTACTAATTACAAATTACATGCCAAAAATTGTAAACCATAACATTAGACATTTTAGGTAATATAATCCATATTGATACCATATTGATATAAAGATACAAACAGAAAGGAAAATATACTCCATTCTTCGTTATAAATAACAAGAAGTGCATTAAATATTACATTACATTACGGTTTCCCAAACTAAGGTTTGTGAAGGAACTGCTGGAGGTTTGTGAGTTTAATGAAAAGCTATATGAAATCACAAAAATGTAAAATGAAAAGAAATAATTTTAAAATACCAACAGTTAAAGTAAAACACTTATTAAAAAATATAAAATATTTTATTTGTTTGCCTGCTTCTCATGTGACCATTAACCAACGTCAGAGAACCGTGAACAATCAAACGTGATACTTAATTATTTATTACCTTAAAATCTCAGGGATAAAAATGTTCAGCTGACAAAATAAGTTTTGAGAATTGCATGTTAAATAAGATTTTTATTATTATTATTTTAATGTGTTTGAAAGACACATAAAAAACACATTGAAATGTTGAGAAAACTCTTAAAGTTGAAATGATTTTTGTAAATCCAGTGGTCAGATGCTGTGTGGCCTCTCAGTTTTCTGTGTAATTATAGCCACCTGACTATAATTAGAATATAATATATAATTGTAGTAGTGACTGGTCTTTGAATGTCCACAAAACGGCACAGCTTATATTTACAGTGCTGGGTAGTAACTGATTACATGTAATCTGGATTGCATAATCAGATTACAAAAATTAAGTACTTGTAATTAGATTACATTTTAAAATACTTGTAATCAGACTACAGTTACTTTTTATTGAGTAAAAGATTGCGTATTATTCACATAATAGCTATACATTATTTATCACTTATTGATTCTCCCTAATTCTTCCTTTTTAATTTCCCCTTTCTAAAATAACCTGCTGCTTATATACAGTCAGAAAGTCTTCCAGGTAAGGTTAGTTCCAGTTAGGTTAATGTATATAAGCGGTAGGCTATTTTAGAAAAGAAAATATAATTTATTGCTATTGTGTGAATAACATGTAATTAATCAATAAGAAAGTAACTGTAGTCTGATTACGAGTATTTCAAAATGTAATGTAATCTAACTACAAGTACCGTAATCCACATTATGCATGTAATCAGCTTCTACCTGGTTCTGTTCATATCAAACCAACATGTATAAACCTCTGAACTGGTTGCACACCACACTGTGTTTTGTGGGTTAAACCACTTCACCTCCTCACCATTTGAACCCTGCTTAGGTTATCTGGGCTAAATGAAGCGAAAGAAAACTATTATATCTCTTACACAATGTTTGCAAAACTGAAAGTCATTTAGAATGTTCTTCAGCACATGGAGCTTCATTAACTGCATGCACATTAGTGCAGATGTAGATATCCGCAGTCTGCAGCAGTGCCTCGTGTTTCCTGTTTCTGATGTGTGAATGCATGAGAGCAGCAATGCAGGGACTTCATTTAGCAATTTACCTGCAATATATTGGAAACGTGTTTTTCTTGAAGAGATCCAGGGGCTTATTTTAGCGATTCTGCTGTGATGCGTTGGAAACGTGTTTTTCTCTGACCTGAAATGTTTCTGTCTCATGTTAGCAAAATTACTATGATAGTCAGCATTACTAATGTTAATTAAAACTATTTTTAAAAGTTTTAGCAATTGTTAAAACTACAAATGAATATGTAAAAAAAAAAAAAAAAAAAAAAAAAAAAAAAATCTCGTCTGATCTCTGAAGCTAAGCAGGGAGCAGGG